ATTATGCAGGTACGGAATGTGGGCAGCTCAGACGGGCAATCTTGGAGGGAGCAGGAGAGACCACCAGAGCAGCTGACAAACAGCAGACTAGGTAAGGCCCCTCGGGAGCCACTCAGCAGCAGATGAAAAGAGGTGTTTGAGAAAGGTTAGCCAGTGAGAGGGGAGAAGGGGGAAAGTGAGAGCAGGTGCCATCGTCCAGGGGGAAGTGACTAAGGCCAGGACTAGAGTAGGGCCCCGAGGGATTCAGTGAGACTAGGAAGGTAGAAAACCAACTGGACCTTCATACATCATCTTCTGGAAGCTCCAGAGAATTTGCAGAGTGACTTTGTTTTTGGCCAAGTCCCTTGAGATGTTAGCCTGACACTGGTCACAATCCTAAGGCCTTCCAGCTCTTTGCAAGTTTAATAGTACTGACTTTACTTCCCAACCTATTGGCTTAATAGGGTTATTGAAGTCGTCACTCCCAAACTCTGCTCACAGCTTTAGCTAAAAGGTCTGGAAAGCCCCCTCCTACTGATCCTTCATTTTTACATTATTCTAAGCAGATAAGGCATTCAGGCATTTCGGTCACAGAATTTATTACCACTAGAAATTCTGGAGAATTTGATAAATGTAGGGTTTCAAACGTATGATTCTAAAAATGGGATAAGAATCTTCATCCTACCGTACTTCGTGATATCAAAATCTCTTTTTTTTTTTTTTAAGATTTTATTTATTTATTTGACAGAGAGATCACAAGCAGGCAGAGAGAGAGAAGGAAGCAGGCTCCCTGCTGAGCAGAGAGCCCGATGCGGGGCTCGATCCCAGGACTCTGAGATCATGACCTGAGCCGAAGGCAGCGGCTTAACCCACTGAGCCACCCAGGCGCCCCCAAAATCTCTTTTCTGACAAAAGAGGAGACATTCATGATTTTTTCAGTCTGAATGCACTTATTAAACCTTAGCCCTTTCTTCCCCTTTCTTAAGTGCCTAGACAAACAGCACAGTATAACAGAGCAAAACCAACCAAATAAAAACCAAGATGGGAGTAAAAGACCCGTGGCCTTTGCTCTGGTTTGATCACAGAATTAGCTGTGCAGGTGACAGCCTTTCTGGGCAGAGGCTTCCTCACTGGTAACAGGAGAAGGCTGGCTTAAGCAACCTTCCCAGCTCTATGAACCCATGATCTGCAGTGATCTCTTTATTTCCTCAGAGAGGGAAAAATTAAAACAAAACAAAACAGGGAAGTGATGAAAATGTTAAAATAATGTATTTGAGGAAAGACCTCCAATGAAGAACAGAGCTTCTATCATGCTATTTTTAGAATGTGAGCTGCTTAAGGACGGGGACCACTTTCAACTTACTTCCTACACAGAAATTGAAGGAGAGACCGCACGTGTGGTGGGAAGGACTCGCCTCAGTTCTGGATGGGAACAATGAACCCCCACACAGGGCAGCCCAACAAGGGGATCCACAGCTGGCCTGGCCTGTGCTCTTTTTCATGTCCTACTGACTTGTATTCAAGGTGAGGCCATCTCACCAGATGTAAATCCTGCTCAGAGAGGCACCTGAAGACCAGTAACTGGCACTCTCTCTCTGGCTAACAGGGAAATGAACTTCTTGGCTCTGGCTACTGCCGGCACCGTAGCGTCTGGACATAGAGCTCCAAGTGTCCCAGACTACAGGATGGCAAACAAGTAGGTACACAGGGACTCTGTAGTTGGGCCCCAGGAGGCTGGCAGTGTGGTCGGCAAATGGGACTGCCCACCAAGCACATTTTAGCAGAAATCAACAAAATCTCACTTGCTAATGAAAGCGGCTAAATGGTATGGAGTGGAGGATATATGGAATTTGGGAAAGCTTCCATCAAAACAACCAGAAGTCAATGACTAAAATCGACAGCAGGCGGGACTCTTCTGGAACAATTACAACCGGGGCCTCCTCCCAGGGGGCCCCTATTTACATTCAACTATTTCCAAGGTAGAGGAGAAATGGCAAGTCTCCGGAGCTACGGGTGCCCACCTGGTGGTCCCCACTACGGATTCAGACACAACTACAGAGTTCAATACTGTGTCGTCAGCACAGTATATGCTGTGTATATGTGTATATGTGTATATGCTGTGTATATGTGACTATATAATTGGAAAGGCCCGGTACAAGGAGAGAGTAATTAGCAGAATTAGCCGGCTCTCAGGAGCACCAAGGAGGGCTGAGGGGCACAGGGCCGGGGACAAGCTGAGGAACAGAACACAGCAGCCTCTCCTCCGATTCCCCTTTAGCCACGTGCCTCTGCTAACATATGTCACAGACTGTTCGGTGCAATGAAGAAAGAGTCTAGGGCTCCCGCTGCCTGAGCCCAAGCACTGTCCTATCCCGTGTCCCCGGGCTAGACCTTGAGCTCCGTACTTCTGGCTCCCGTCACTGACTTGCAGCAGCACTGTGAGCACCACAGGGCACTGCCATGCTGGGAGTATGTAAATTAGGGAGATGTTATCGACAGGTATGCAATGACTCACCAATGAGGCCTCATTTAATCCAGTTCAAATAAAAGATTTTGTTTAAGAACATGGGAACAGCACTCTCTACAAGGATGCTCAGGGGTCACCTCTGCCTCCTCCTCTTGCCCTTACCTCCATGCCCCATCAGCCTACTGTGCCAGGGGTGTTCCTGGAGAGGGACATGAACGCTCTTAAGCCTCCTTGTCCCCTTCTCTAGGAAGCCCGCGGGCTCTGCTCTTTGCCTAAAATGTCCTTCATCCTCTCCACGACCATGCATATCCCACCAGCCTGTGAAGTCCCACTCTCTGACCACACAGTAAGCAGCTCGATTCTCCACTGTTCCGCACTTTGTTCTAGAACCTTTGTACGTCACCTGTCTCTGTTTCAAATCTAAACATTTCATTTATATCCTCTCACCAACACTTCAAACATCTTGGGGGTAGGAACCACATTCTACCTGTACCACCTCCACGGAATTATGTACTTGTACCACGCTAGGCTCATAATAATTACTGAAACGTATTCTCCTTTTTCTACTCAGAAAGAGGGCTGACTGCAGAAGGTCACTGGAGAAGGCTAGCTAAGGCTTCTGAAGGTATGCACTACCTTCCCATCAGCTAACTGCTTTAGTACAGAAATGCCAACATGCATGTACCACTTTACACCAACGGGGCTGGCTGAAATAAAAATGACGAGAAGAGCTGTGAGGATGTGGAGAAACTGGAACCCTCATGTATTGCTGCTGGGATGTGAAACAGTACAGCCGCTCTGGAAAACAGTTTGGCCGTTCCTCTGTAAGTTAACTGCAGTTACTACATGACCCAACAATTACTCCCCTAGATGTACACACAAGAAAACTGAAAACATACACCCACTTAAAACTAGCACACAGATGTTCATACTACCTGAAGTAGAAACAATTCAAATGTCCATCCACTGAGGACTAGATGAACGAGATGTGGTCTCGTCACACTATGACGATCATGCCATGAAAACGAACGAGGTACCGTTGCATATTGCAACACAGATGAACTCTTTCACAGTTAGGTGAAAGAAGTCAGATGCAAGAGGCCACTTACTGTATGAGCCATTTATGTGACATGCGCAGACTGGGCAACAGAAAGCAAATTAGTGGTTGCCCAGGGGTGCGGGGTGAGAGGTGGGAATGAAGAGTGATTGCTGATGGATACAGGGTTTCCTTTGGGGAGACGAAATGTTTTAGAATTAGATGATGGTGATGGTTGTACAGCCTTGTAAACAGAGTAAAAGCCACTAAATTGTATACTTTAAAAGGGTGAATTTTATGGTTATGAATTATATCTGAATTTTTTAAAAAACAAAAAAACAAAAAACAAAACTAAAAACCTTGACACAGAAATGCTAGTAGGCTGCTATGATCCTCAGACTTGAGAATATACAAAACCCACATGGGGTGATTATTAAGCTCTAAATTCCTAGGCTTCCCTGACACTGCCACACAAGTTATGGCCCAACGGGTTCCGTGTGGAATCCGGTAGCCTACATTTAACAAGCACACCAGGGGATGCTGATCCCAGTTACGAGCCATGAAGCAGGTTTCTCAAAACACAGGTGTAATGAAAAGAAACTATAATTTAGAATCAGAAGAACAGGATTCACTTTTGGAACCTGCTCCTTTCTGGTTATATGACCTCAGTCAAGTCACATAACTGATCTACTCCTGAGTTGCCCTAACTGTAAATGTAAAGAAGAACATCTTCCTCCAACAGCGTGTGTGTGTGTGAAGTGTCTGGTAGTATACATGGCACACAGTTGGTGTGCCATACACGCTGGTGAATCCCAGCCAGGTGCCAAGTCCATTCGACAAACAAGTGACAATAATCAGAAAAGCCTGGTACAAGGAGGTAGTAATTAGCAGAACAAATTTTTAAAATAATCACTTACTGGATTTTGCAAAATATGAAACAGACGTTAAAAACCAAGCATCAGGACGCCTGGGTGGCTCAGTTGGTTAAGCAGCTGCCTTCGGCTCAGGTCATGAACCCTGTGTCCTGGGATCGAGTCCTACATCAGGCTCCTTGCTCAGCAAGGAGCCTGCTTCTCCCTCTGCCTCTGCCTGCCACTCTGCCTGTGCTCACTTTCTCTCTCTCTCTCTCTCTCTCTCTCTGATAAATAAATAAATAAATAATCTTTTAAAAAACAAAAAACAAAAAACCAAGCATCACTGTTTGCAAACTATTGAAGTTAGTTTATCATTTTCCATGCCCCTGACCGTAAATTTGGGACTCCATCAGGAAAAACAAAAACAACATGTATTTAGTCAGTTGATGACTATAAAGGATTTCTAAAGGCTACTTGGGTAATAAAAGCCATACCTGTACCCTACTTTCTTTTTTTTTCTTTGTATCTTCTCTTACCAAGCAGAACGGAAGAAACAAGAGGTTACCACGCATGTTCTGTCACATCCCCCAAGTGTCTCCCCGTTCCCCAGGCCTATGGGAAATAGCCTGTAGAAAGGCACTTAAGCAAACAGTGGGACCGTTACCTTCAGGTCACGGTGGATGATAGGAGTCTTGCACTGATGCAGGCGGGCAACAGCTTCACAGGTGTCACAAAATATCTGGAGCACTTCATTCTCTGTAAAACCTGTTTGCAGGCGCTGGTTCATCAGGTTGACCACCTGGCCTCCTGCGAGGGGGCACAGAGCAAGCCGGGAGGTTAGCAACATTCTGATTCACCACTCACCCAAGACAATGAACAGGCTGTCCATAGAAGAGCGACCTGGACAAAGGTCACTGGCTGAGCCATGACTGCAACCCAAATGTCTTGATTCCCAGACCCAGATTCATCTTCTTACAATCCAGGGCCTCCTCTGATGCAGCAAAACCCATTTATTTTATAAAGTACTCCAGATGTGAGCTGACTTCACGACATCTTGAAGATCAGTAGAACTGATGGTCTGGTCCTGCTCTAGCCACTTGGTTACTCTGTCCCTGTTTGTATGGGATGAGGCCACAGGTTCAACCTGCTGTATTCTTTAATAAGAATCAGACTACACAAGAGACCCCAGAAGCAGGAAGAAGACAGCTTTCTGGTCTGTAGTTTAGGAATGGCTTGGTCTCTCTAGCCTCACTCACTACTTGCTGCCAAAAATGCAGAAATACTCCACCAATATTTCATCTCCAGGACCAGAAGACTGATTATCTCACTTACAAAATTATCCAAATTCCTGGATGCTCCCACTGCCTTGTCTCGAAACATTTTACCATCCAAAAAGGAATGGACAGGAGGAAACAAACTGCCAAGTTCAAATTTGGTAGTATCTTATAAAATTGGCTTAGGGTTATTAGAGAATTGGCTGAAATTATCAGTTAACGTTACATTTTGGGGATTAACCACATATTTAATTTATGGACAGTATCTTTAAAGGCAAGGAAAATTCAGTGGAAGTACGGATGATTATAAAACAGGGCACCAAACAGTGAGGCAGTGACCCAAGCTTGTAAGTGGCAGTTGCTCGGGCCAAAAGAGCCAGACCTCCAAACTGGTTGTATGAAAGGCAGTCAACTCTGAATCAAGTCATGTTACAGTCTGTACGTCCCAAGATAAAGGCTGCTTGAACCTCCAAGCTTTCAACTACTTAACTCCACTGTTCACAGCAGCATCGTTTGAGTATAGCCTTACTGGCAATTACAGCTTGCAAGCAAGGAGAAGAAAGGTCATTTCCATTCGATGAAAAGAATTACTTTCCCCCATAACACAAGGACGGAGGTGTGGGTGGAGAAGAGAACACATGAGGGAGGGAGTGGGGAGGCTAAATCCTTTCTTCGGTCCATCTGGAGTTGGGACTTTATTATGTGCCTTCATTGCTTGTTTTAAAGCATCACAGATAACACATTCCTCCTCACCCTCATACATTCTCATGCACATACAAGCACCAAACCTGCCTAAAGCTAACAAAAGAGGAGTTTTGTATTATCAACCACTTCAAATCGTTTGCCATAAGAATAACCAAGAGGTGACAGCAGGCTCTGTATCTTTCAGTCTCACAGTCTGCACATCTTTAAAACCACAACAACAGACAGTAGGGCACAGAGCACATTCACTGAAATGACCCCCGTGCCCTTGACAATCAAAGTGCCAGACAATGGGAGCTCAAGGTCTGGGTTATACACTTACCCCTACAGAAGTCCATCAGAATGAGCACCTCCCACACATCCCCGCTGCTCACGTTGTTGATACTGGAGTCAATGTAACCGACAATGTTCTTGTGCCCAGACAGGTCTCTCTAGAAAGAAGAGTTGAGAAATACAGTATTAGATACAGACACCAGTAGGGACAGAAGGAGCCCGTCGGTTCCATTAGCACAGATAATTTAAATACAGATAACCTTAACAGCAGTGAGAGATAAGACTGCAGAGGGGGGTCAAGAGCAGGTTTTCAGTGGTCTCTGAGATTCATGGCCAGCTCTTCAGTCAACAGTTCTATAGCCCTACTAAAGCACAACACGCTCCTGAACGAGATTCTGGAAGCAGATGCACACAGGGTGCCTACGCGCTTGTTCCATCAGTGCTCCCTGTAAGTCAGGAGCAAAGACGCTCATCTCCAGAAGTACTGCAGAGTACGAGCCAGACAGTGTGAATTATTTAAACATGTGAATTTTTAATTCAGAAAAAAGAAACTGGTGGGGCTTTTTTTCCTGGCTGTAGGTACACAAGTGGATTCAACATGACTTTTAAATTGTTTGTACTGCTTTTCTCCCTTTAGGAAATGTATGAAAAGAATAACTGCTTTACAACGTTTTGAATGGCCTATGGTGGCATCCCAACCTAAATATTTTGCTCATAATTAAGCCTTTCAAGTCAACCAAATGGAATATAAGATGGGTCCTGTTTCTAGCTCTCTGGTTGGAACTGCATATGCTCTCTCCGGGTTGCTTATGGAATTCACTGAGCCAGCAAATGTTGACGGAGCACCTCATGTGTGTCAGGACCCATTCAGGCACCAGAGGCTGCCTCACACCTTGCTATCATTCTTTCAGCATCCCTAGAGGCAAATCTTTGTAACGATGATGTTTAAAATCCAATGTCATTAAGAAGTAAGTCGGGGAAAGAAAAAGTAAGCAAGCTGAGTAGAAGGATTTTTGCACAAATTCAAGATTAAAAAAAAAAAAAACTAGTTTTAATAAATTGTTTGGTTTAAAAAAGGGGGAGGATAGTGGTTGAGTCACCAGACAGACATGACAGTTCAGGCCATAAAAACAGTAACTACCACCACACAAACTGGAGATTTGGTTGCTTAGAGTGACGTATAAAGTCTCTTTTAATCTAAAATTATATACCAAAACAAGAAGAAGTCTCATGGTATCAAATGAATATACCTGAACCCTGAGCATCAAAGTTAAAATTCATTAGAACTTTCCTCTGAGTGAGGGAGTGAGAACGACTGCTGCTTCAGAAAGGTAGACAAAAATAGAAATGGGACGGCTGGAACTGACAGTGGGAAGTCACTGGAGCCCGATACAAGAACAGTTTCAGAGAAGGGATGGGATGTGGGGAGGGAGAAATGGACTTGCAAAGAGTTGAGCACGTAAGAGCTGGCAAGTATAGATAAGTTTTCTGGAACATTTTGTGCTCCAGAGAGGAACAGCATTGCCAGAAGGAATTCTCGGGATGAGAGAGAACTGAGCACGGGAGAGTGTAAGGAGCCAGGAGCAGAAACCTTCAGCATAGAGGAGAGGACAAAGGATAACTGATGGGACCTAGGCCTGAGAGGGGGCGGGGACTGAGGGCACCATTAAAGGGACTGGTCTTAGAAAGAGGAGCAGGAAGGAAACGAAAATGGATATGCATATTGGTTTACAGCTGGAGAAGGGGAACTTCAGTGAGTTCAGTTCTATTGTTCTGTTTTTGGTAGAGAGCAAGACCACGTTTGCAGTATAAGGGAATGAGAAAGCAGCTTGATGAGAGAAATAAAAGGCTTAGAGCAACTACTTTGGATGACAGACAAAGGAGATGATGAGGCAGAAAAAGCCGTCTCTCTCTCGAGTTCTGCACAACAGAACGTGATTTCAGGGTTCATGTCGTAGAGCCCCATTCTTCCTCCTGCTTTTTACTCTCATCATCAAGTCTTCAAAAACTTGATTTCATTTACACAGTCGAGGAAGGAGGAAGAACGGGAGAGGAGTTCTGAAGCCAAAATAGAGCAGAAGATCATGTTCTCCAAATGTTCACAGGAGGAATGAAAGACTAATGTTTCCACATTAGTAATTTGTCTACATTTAACTGTTTGAAAAAGAATCTGCAATGCCACCTCTGATTTGCCTCATCCCAAGAGGAATAATAAAGACGCAGGAAGGGGAAAAAAAAAAGCATTTGGTAGAGTCAAGAGGAGGTCAAGAGCTATTAGAGGACCCAAACTGGATAATGAACATCTGCAGATGGCATCCTAGAACAGTGGCCAAGCTGTTTGCTGATCAGTTCAAGTCCAAATTCCCGTTCATTTTGTCTTCTGCAGAGTTCCTGAGAGACGACCAAGCAGAAAAGATCTCCTCTTCGGAGGGAGCCCATGGCACTCACTTTTAATGACCTGATAATGCAGCAACATCTCAGATTTTAGAGTAACATCTCACTAGTCCGCAACGGATAGAGAAGATCGATTTGAACGGCTGTGAAATGCAGAAAAGACCAAGAGGAAAACTTACTGCAAAGGGAAACTGACTCACATAGAGGGTGCCCTGCCCCGTTCGTAGCACCAATAGGCCAAAGGAGGCCCAAGTATTCCCTGGCTTTGGTTAAAAGCCCAGTTCCAGACTTGGAGAACAGAAATGGACACAGAGGTATGGGACAGCACCCACACGGTTTGGGAGCTCAATTCCTCAGGAAAAGGCAGGACATAAGGAGGATGCCTTGATGCCCTTGGCTACAACTCTTATTTGGGGTACACGAAGATAAAAATCTATATTTTTGAGTGTAAGTCAAAGCGTGATTTTAAGGGGAGTAGGAAAAGTTCAGTTAAATTATTGATCAGATCAGTTTATATTACATGATTTAAACAGTGGTAAGTCTAAGGAGTGTGTATTGTCCTTTTAAACTTTATATTTAGATTACCATTACAGAGGACTAATAAAGTACTGACATAAACATGCTATTAGAAGACCTGCTTTATTAAGTAGATATTTTAAATGATTTATAGTGGCCTTATTAATATATTTAACTGCTTGAGGTGCTAAAAAACTTTCTTCATAAATACATGCGAAAACTGCCATTTGAAAATCATGCCTTTAGCTTTGCGCAGTGGCAGCATTGTAGTCAATGAGATTTATCCGAGGCGCGATTATTGCTAATTGAAAATCATGCCTTCAACTCAGATCTTATAGGTTATCACAAATCTCAAGTTTATCTGGGGCCCTAATTAATGATGCTTGTAGCACAAAACAGTATTCTATCCCTGTGCTCAAAATTCCTACAGCAAGAGGATCCAATCCCCAAGTAGGTACATCTATAAAAACCTTCATATTAAGTTCAGGAAAACAAAGAAGATGGCATTCTAAAGAGCATATCAGTAACATGCCACTCACCTCCAGACAGTAAAAATGAGTATGGTATATAACTAATTTCCCTATATATTTGCTCAGGTCACCCCTTCTTTGGAATGTCAGCATGATATCTGCAAATTCCCAGTACTGATAGAGCTTGTATTTGCAAAGATTAAGTTTCCAAAGAGATAATTTACCTGCTTTGACCCTCCATTCAAATATTCAACATTTTCTGCTTTTTATGACTCAGCACTATTCCTACTTCTGGGATCACACCATGGTTCCACAGAGCTTTTAAGCAAATTTCAGCTTCTTTTTAACTTAAAGGTGAAGGAATCCAGTTCTAAGGCCTGAAATTTGTTTATTTCTCCTACTGGATGCCTTTTTTTTGTTGTTAGTTTTAGTTTTGTTTTTTTTTTTTAATTTTATTTATTTATTTGATAGAGAGAGAAATCACAAGTGGGCAGAGAGGCAGGTGGGGATGGAGGGGGGAAGCAGGCTCCCTGCTGAGCAGACAGCCCAATGCAGGACTCAATTCCAGGACCCTGAGATCTTGATCTGAGCTGAAGGCAGTGGCCTAATCCACTGAGCCACCTAGGCGCCCCTCTCCTACTGGATGCTTTGTAAAAGTCTTCTGCCTTACTTTTCTTTGCTCCTTTTCCCCTCAATCACTCTAAATTTCCTTTATAACTCTCTTCGAGGAGTTATTCACAGGCCCAGTAAAACATCAAGTCCAGTACAGTAATAAAAAGAAATACTTTTTTTTTTTTTTTTAAGATTTTATTTATTTATTTGACAGACAGAGATCACAGGTAGGCAGAGAGGCAGGCAGAGAGTGAGGAGGAAGCGACCTGGGATCGTGACCTGAGCTGAAGGCAGAGGCTTTAACCCACTGAGCCACCCAGGCGCCCCAAAAAAGAAACACTTTGAGATCTAGGCTAGTCCTGGTATTCTATGAAGGCCAAGGTATCTGGGCTTCTGCTTACATAAGAAGTCCCAAATATGATTCTCGTCCCCACACTCACATTGACTCTCCTGTTCCTGAGTCTTACTCACTAGTTAATCCTAGTTAGTGAGTAAGTGAATAGTTAGTGAGTTAGTGAATAGATCTTTAAAGTCATCTAAAGTCTGATTTAGAACAGTGCTGCTCAAACTTTAATAGGCATATGAATCACCTGGAGATCTTGTTTAAAAGCAGATTCCAATCCAGTAGCTCTAGGAAAGGGCCCTAAATCCTGCTCCTCAGTGGCACTTAAAGTAGCAAAGATCTAGAACAGTGCCACTCAAAATGTGGCCCACAGATGTGTGCTGCTTAGTAAACTGTTACCAGTGCAGAAGGAGAGAAGAAGCTTGCTCCAGGACATCAATCAATTTAGTAACTAAGCGGACTTATTTCTTTTCCTAGTGATATCTTACCTATGAGGAATACAGTTCCTTGATTTACATTCTGGCGCAACATGCTCTGAATAGTACCCATATGCTTACAGCCAACTGATTTTTGAAAATGGTGCCAAAAAAAAAAAAAAATACAATGAGGGAAAAGTAAGTCTTTTAAAAAAATGATGCTGGGACTGTAAGGGCCTATTTAGCCAGAGCGATTCCATCTGGTTGAACAGTGATTTTGTTGTTTATGCAGTAAAACTTAAACTGACCCTTCCCCCGCTCAGGGAACTTACTTAAAAACAAGTCCCGGAAACCAGTCCCAGGTAACAAAGCCCAAATACAAGGGTAGGTCAGGCCAGGTGGAGGTA